AAACCAACAAACTGAGAAAACATGATTCTGCTCCTCAATGGTGCACGTGGTCTTTAATGATTCATATTTATAATTATAGGCCGCTGGTGTGGGTGGTAATGAGCGACACCTGTGTGCCTCACCGGTCTGCAGTCTCACAGAGGACAACAGCCCAAACCCAACTCTAAACATTTTCGGGGCCTGTTTCAGTAAAGAGGTTCAACCAACTCAGAGTTTTTAATCTTTCGGTAAATCAACTCAGAGTTCAAGTTTAAACTCTGAGTTTTCGGTTTCAGAACAGCTGGGGTCCGTTCTTCGTACGTGGATTACTCAGTTAGCTGGATTTGGATATTGACGATTTGACATGATCCAGGATCGTTTCGTTCTTCAAAGCTGATCCGAGAGTTGTTGTCATGGCAACAGTTCTGCTAGGTCAAACCTGATCGGGAGCAGGTTCAATTCATATAAACAGGATTAGATCGGCTCAGTTCAAGCAAAGATAATACAGAAAGTATGTTCCGAATTCTGATATTTTCTTACAGTAGTAGTTATATACACTTGGGAAAATGGTACATATTTTTAAACTATATATATATATATATATATATATATATATATATATATATATATATATATATATATATATATATAAAGTTAAAGTCATTAATAAAATAAATAAAGTTATACATATTTATAAAACGTGTGCAATCTGCACCCTCGAAATGAAAGTACAAAGACTGCCACCTGGTGGTGCAAAGAGAAAACTTATTGATATGAACTTTTTAGATCGCTTTAGTACAAATTGTGTATAATAGAAATGCACAATATGTGACTTTTTTTTAAAGCAATAATACATTTATGTAGTCATAAACATGTTTTGATAGTTAATATGCCAGTGATTTGATGCTTCACAAAAGTTGCAGACACCTTTACCAATATGAAAATGCTTTTGTAAACAACCAGTTATTCTTTACACCGACTAAAAAAAACGGCTACTATAAAGAAAATCTTTTCTAAATGTGGAACTAAATACATTGATTTGCATTGAAATGCATGATGAATACTCTTGTCTTGACAAATGAAAGTGTAAAGCCTGCAGCTCACAACAAATGTGGAAAGTTCTTGCGTGTCATATTAAACAAATCGTTTACTGCTAATTTGATGTAATTTTGCTCACATGGATAATTGAATATTAATCAGATGATGTCATTACGCTGCTGTGCCGTCAGCCAATCATTGCATTGATGATCATGATTTCGAGGATCGATAGATCTGTCCTTCACAACACACGCAGCGATCTCAGATCAGTTCATCCAGACATTCTAATCTAATTCGCGAACTTGTTTGAAGAACCAAATTAGCGAGAGATCAGTTATCAAGATTAAAAGATCCCGGATCTGCCAAATAATCTTAGATCATTTAAGCGAGGTACGAAGAACGGACCCCTGATCTGAGTTAAGTCAATCAACTTTGAGAAGACTCACTCAGAGTTAAGCGAGCACACCACGACTATAAAAAAGACATTTTAAAATAAAAGAGTTCAGGATTTCTTTCTCCAGCTGAACTTGATGTGCTCATGCAAAGTTATCACAAATATGACCATATATTTAAAAAAGCAACACCACTGCATAAGTGAAACAGAGACAGTAGCGTGGGAAAACAGCTGCTCGAGTTAATGCATAATTTTAGATTTAAAGTATATAAATATTTAAGTTTAATAAAATAAGCAATGTTGTGTGACGTTAATACATTTTTTACACGTTCCCACTTTTATACACGTTGATCAGTTTTAATAGATGTAAAAGTGCACTTGTGTGTCTACCTCTATTATTGATCATGTAATAGAGGTTCATATGACTTTTAGAATGTAAGCAGAACTAAACAATAGTTTTTAGAAGGAGTAATAATCCCATTAATCTAGTAACAGTACATGTCTCTGTCGAAGGTCAGTGAATTTAAGCTAATTATTTATTTAAAAAGGACAAGCCATTCTCGTAGATGAATTTGTTCTTTGTGTGATTGAAATATATGCAATAGCTATGTTTCCGTCCAAAAATATTAATTAAATTTATGTGCAAAACTGGAATATTGCATAAAAGATATGTGCGAATAAAGCAGCGTTTCCATCCAACGAGACAAAGAGAACAAAATCTTCATTTCCTGATTAAGCGGGCGCAAAATATCAACAGTAAAAAACAGAATTTACTGTGGTAGGAGAAGCTGTGTCAATATTTTCTTTATTTAATAAATGTACTTGCGCCTCAGAAGACAATACTGACACACAATGAACACGTGGGGGCGTTTGAAGCCATGAGACGCGGAGAACAGACGTCTTTTGACACTTTGTATGTTTTTATGTATTAAATAGTTTTAATTTAGGTTTTTGGGGTCTCTCAGCACACAGAACTCCAAATTCATCCCAAATAGTCTTGTTTGTTTGTTTGTTTCATTTGTGCTGCTTCTGTTGCATAAACATGTTCAGTTGCATATGTTCAATTTTCCCCCTTAAACGCTTGATGCTTAATTAATTAAACTATTAACTTGAAGAGCGGATGTGATTTACCTGAAATGTGTTATTATGTGTGCTCTTACAGAAATGTTATGATGGAAGTAGATGGGAGGACAGCTGGAGTGACACAATGAGGGAGTATAACTCAGTGGATCAGAGAGTTGTGTGAACTCCCGCGAAGTGTGCACGTGCCTGCAAAAGAGTGTCAATCAAAGGTGCAAAAAAAGGCCGGCGGCCATTTTGTTGACAAAATCACTAGTGTTATGACTGGAGACGCTGCTCTATTGAACGCATTACAGCAAGTAGTTTATATGATTAACATTGATGTTTATCTACAAATAAATAAGTTGTGGACCAAGGTTTTAAGTATTGGACTGCCTAGACCCTTGCTTGAGAGGCGAGTCATTCTATTCAAGCTAGATTCGTCTTTCAAAAGAAAAATGTTCAATGTTTGTTGAAGTTTGTAAGGCTTCCCTTTAAAACGTGTTATGTACGTTATGAGCGGTGAGAGTTCAGCTTGGATTACCGGCATCTAGCATTTAGGCATAATTCGTGGACGGTGATCAAATTTTGACTGTGATCTAGTTGGAGAATTGGGTTGAAGACACAGAGGTTGCATTGTGTGAGGCAGTTTGAAGTGGAAGGTTGAGATGCTGTTGGAGTTGCTATGGAGCAGTGTGTTCTATAATATGGAATATGGCTGTAGTGAGAAACCCTGGCTCTTTATAGTGGGTTAGGACTGGCCTGATTGGTGGATTATACGTAGCTAATGCAGAACCAGTCGTGTTCAATCATAATCACGTGATCCTCTCAAAATTATGAATAATTAATATTTATGAATAAACATTCATTTATTTATCTTTAATACATCTTTTCAGCAGACATGTAAAAAGCTGAAGGCTGTCCATCGTTTTGACAGATTTAATAGAGGGTGATCGTCTCCTAAATAGTCTTTATTTAAATAATAATCTTTTGTTTATGCTGGATAACTCACAGATCAATTAAACTGTGTTTTGCCGAAACAGAGAAAACCTCTCACATCACAGCACTTTACTTCCAATTTCTCAATTTCACTCATTTACTGGTATTATTGTAAGGTGCAGCATTTGTAAAAGATGTTTAAAGACTTCTCATGGGGTGTTGCATAGCTCAGGAATTCTCCTGGGGTTAGATTAGCAAATTTTTTTAAAAACAGAAAGAAAAAGAAAAAAAAAATAGATTTGCCAGTTTGCTTCTACAAACTGCTTTTGTGGGAATTAGTTTTAATACAACCCATGATCAGTCCTCATAAATGGTTTGTCCAGCCAATGTGGAGATGTTTAAAAAAAATTGTGTAAATCCACAGGATCAGCTCCTACGACTTGCAGGAGAAACAAAGAAAGACACATTAAATATTGAAATCACTTGAGCAGCTTGATTGCCCTGTACAATAACTTACGCCTGCAGCAGTATTTGACACTCAGGTATTTGTATGTGCCGGCACAAGGATCAGAGAATTTGGTGTTGGTGGCTGGTACAGAGCAGCACTTTTTCCTGTTATAACTACACCATTAATAGGACAAGTCATGAAACCCATTTGATTAACTGGCCTAGATTCTGTTTGTTCTAGTTGTTCTGTTTGATCTTACTAGCAATTCACAAACGACTTAACAGCTTTCCGATAGTGTCAGTTCAAAATGTTCTAATAATAATAATTCTAGAGTATTTACTTGAGATTTCGGATTCATATTTATAGGCCACTGATGTGACTGGTACTGAGCCATGCCAGTGCACACCAACTTCATTGGTTTGTGTGAATCTCCGGACACTAGAAATAAAATAGGCCTATTGTATGTGCGGCTTCAGAAAACTAAAAACAAGTTTACCTTAAAAATGTTTAACTAACAATTTTCTGACATTAATTTGTTTAATAGGATTGGGTTTCTACTATGAGATTTAAAAAAAAAAAAATATTGCAAAAAAAGCTCAATTCACACACAAAAACCCCCCACAAATCTGCTTAAAAACAAGCGAAGCAGCACAATTTTACCAACAACAAAAATACTATTTGGAGCATGATGGTTACAGAAACACATCTAACCTTTGAACAATACGACTGAAATTTGATTTACGCAAGCATTCCTAATCCTAAAATGAAGTTTGTCAATGTACTCGACCTTGCTCCAAAATGTATTATGTTTAAACACAAACTTAGGGTTTCAAACACTTTAGCCAATAGATTTGGTTTGTTTCTAATGTGGTAACATATTACCAACTTTATCTAGCACCTAATTATAGTTAAGAAATCACTTTAGCCAGTAGATTGTTAATTTATTTTGTGTTATCAGATATTCTGTCAATACAATTTAGCTAGCCACTGACAAGCTACAGTAAAAGCAAACTGCTCTGCTTAACCACTTCATTCAAACGGTTTTACAAATTAATCTTTAAATTCAGTCAGGAAACTACCAGTAAGGTAGGGCAAGAGGGGAAGAAAAAAAAAATAATAATTACAAAAAAAAAAAACTGACAGTTACGTTCTGAAGGGCGTTTATTGAAATGTAAACTCCCAACACAATACATAAGGACAGCAGGATTAGCTAGGAAAAAGAAATCCTTATGGAAGCCATTATAACCTACAGTAATGTCAATGTAGTCATGTTTACACTGAAACATGTTTTTGGGAATTATTGAAATAAAACCCATCATTAATCTTTGTGAAGCCTCAAAGGTTTCTTTTTGGTCCAGCCAATGTTGAGATGTTGACAGATCCAAATCCACAAGATCAGCCCCTACGACCTGCAAGACAGAAACAAGCACATCAGTTATTAAAATCACTTGTGCAGCTTGGTTGCCCTGAACAATAACTTACGCCTGCAGCAGTATTTGACTCTCAGGTACTTGTATGTGCCGACACAAGGATCAGAGAACACACTGTTGGTGGCTGGTACAGAGCAGCGCTTTCTCCAGTTACAGCTACAGCACAGAAAGGACAAGTCATGAAACCCATTTGATTAACTGGCCTTGATTCCATTTAGTGTAGTCATACATTTGTAAACATTATACCTTCTTGCCACAATGAGGACAGAGTTTGGTGAATAGCAGTGGGTGTCTCGGAGCTGCCCATATGGACGTCTGTAGCTGCAGATTCTTCTTTCTGTACGTCCATAGTTTGCTGCAAGGATCTTGATCCTAGTATGATCTACATGGAGACAGAAGCAAATAGTGGGGCATGTGACTATTAAAGCTGCAGCATTATAGAACAATCAAGTTTAATGGATTGTGTCACTTCAACACTTTACCTGGACAGGACAGATCAAGGACAGAGTGCTCACACGCAGTTGCTATGTCTGCAAAATAAGGGTTTCACTTTAATGCCTTAATAGGAACTTAAACTGGTAGACCTAGGCCACTCGAGCTAATGACCATTACAAACAACATACATACTATGAAACCTAAATGTTTAATATTTTTTAGAATTACACATTATAAAAATGAATTTACAAATAATTTTGGAAATGAGAAACTCTTACCAATAGACCTCTTACAGTAATCATCTGCAGATATCAGCAGAATGGAGTTCAGAAACACCACTGAAAAACAAGAAAACTGATGAACACACGTGCACTGCTAATCTCACACAGATTCACATTATTATCTGTAAAAAATACAATCCAGTGAGAAATTTAACACATCATCAAAACTACACATTAATGTTCAAGGCTCTCTCAACTCAATCAGAAACTCACAGGTGAGCAATAAACAGAGAGCGACCATGATTCTGCTGTTGTCCTCAATGATGCTTGTATCTTTACTGATTCTTATTTATAGGCCGCTGGTGTGAGTGGTAATGAGCGACACCTGTGCACCACACCGACTGCAGTTCCACAGAGGACAACAGGAGGAGCCCAAACCCAACTCTGAGCAGCAAAATAGTTTGAATCAATGTGGGGGAAATCTATCTGTGCTGCTTTAGTTTTTCAGATGTTAAAATAATCGTAGTCTTTGTGAATGTTTTTAGCTCCACCAACTGCTCTAAATTTAGCCTAAAATTAGTTTGCTTCATTTGTGCTAGTGTGGGACAGTGAAAGACTCATTTGTGCTGCTTCTGTTATCAAAATATTGGACAATGACTTTGTATTGATGACTATAACGTCTCCAGTCGCCTCTCCAAATACTCTTGTTTATTGTGCTTTGTATGTTTTTATGTATTAAATAATATTAAATTTAGGTTTTTGGGGTCACTCGGCACACCAAGCTCTAAATTCATCCCAAATAGTCTTTTTTGTTTGTTTCATTTGTGCTGCTTCTCTTACATAAATATGTTTATTTGCACACGTCCAATTACCATTTTTCCCCCTCAAACACTTGATTCATAATTAATTAAACTATTAACTTGAAGAGCAGATGTGATTTACCTGAAGTGTGTCTCTCGCACATTTATTTATTTTTTTAAATACATCTTTTCAGCAGAGATGTAAAAAGCTGAAGGCTGTCCATCATTTTGACAGATTTCCCAGAGGGTGATCGTCTCCTAAATAGTCTTAATTTAAATAATAATCTTTTGTTTATGCTGGATAACTCACAGATCAATTAAACTGTAAGCGTTTTGCCTATACAGAGAAAACCTCTCACATCACACGATCCTTTTACTTCCAATTTCACAATCATGCACTCATTTACTGGTGTTATTGCTGCTGAGAGTATCATTATGTTGAGTGAGTCTCAGGACGCTAGAAATGAAATGGGTCTATTTTATCATTATGACTTTAGCGATTGATTTTCATCCAAAAATATAATTTAAACATTCAATTAAGAGTATAGATTATTATCTCTGCTTTCTGTTTTAAACTTACAGCACAGGCTAATACTTGTGCTAGGCTTACAGCTTTGACTTAATTCAGTGAAGCAGTTGTGGCCTTTATTTATTTACACAAAAATATTTGACTGAATGAACAAAACTTGAGCTTCAAGTTTTATGATCTATTAAGTAGATTGACTACACTACACATGACTACAATAATCAATTTTCTTTAAGAATGAATGTTTTAAAATTAATTTTCTGAAATCAAAACTAAATGTTGAAAACAGTAAAAAAAAAATTTAAATGGATTTTGTTTTTGGCATTTTTACAAAAATACAGATTTAACACACTTACACTGACCAATATTGATGATTTAACCTTTAAAACAGCACAAAGGACCTCTTCAGTAGCAAAAACAAGACAAGTTAGGATGAATTTGGAGCATAGAGAGGACTAAGAAACATACTTCACCTTAAAATAAAAATGGAAGCAAAACCAGCTGATTATTGATTTCTTTGGCAAAGGATTGTTCACTCAAAGATAAAGATTTAAACTTTTTTTTTTACTGTATTCAACTGCCCTGCTGAAAATTCCAGCTTAAACCAGCCTAGGCTGGTTGGCTGGTTTTAACTGGTCGACCAGGCTGGTTTTAGAGGGGTTGTAGTCATTTCTAGCCTGGTTTAAGCTGGACATAGCTGGTTTTGGCTGGGCTCCCAGCCTGGCTAGGCTGGTCAAGCTGGTTTTAGCTGGTCATCTCCCAGCCTGACCAGCCAAGACCAGGCAGGAAATGGCTGGATACCAGTCATCGTATAAGGCAGAAAAGGGTATCTTTTGTCCTCCAGCAAGTAACAATGTAGTGCCCAGTAATGATTCTATTGTATAATAAAATATAATAAAAATAAACATCGTGTAAAGCAACATTTGCTTTATAGTTTTTTTTTTTTTACTATATTTGTATTATACACTTGAATCATTACTTTCTGAAAATCAGCCATTTAGCCTCAAAATATAGTGATGAGGTGGGGTCATCACATATGAGCTGGTAAGTGGAAGCAGTAATGAGTTTAATAGTTGAAACACCAAAAGATTAAGGATAGAACATTAAGTTGTACCTGCACATTTATACTATGGACAGATTTCATATTATCAGTGTCCTTTAGTGTCTGATGGAGCTTTAAAACCGGCTGCAATTAATGCACACAATAGCATTTGGAAACCCTGAAAAAAATATAATATTGAAAAATGTAGGTGTGTGTGCGTGAATGTATACATATGAACGACGTCCTACATCTTAAATTATAGATATATTTTCCTACAAAAGACAAAGCTGCCACTTCTTATAATATTATACAGAAAAATGTGAGGGGTGCAGAAGGAGAGAAAAAACACAAGATCTGTAAGTGAGATTCGAACTCGCTCCAATGTGCGCTCCGTTGTTCATTAACAACGCACTGTCCGTACACTGTTGCCGTGCTCTGAATCAACTGTGTAATGATACGCAGATTTCAAAAAGGTTTGTTAAATACATTAACGTTATAAATTTGGTAATGAAAAAAACTATGCACTTACAACCCTCTCACAATGAAAAAACTTGTATCTGTGTGTCCACATCCATAAATATTCTCATCAAAAGAGCACGCAATGCTCAGTAAACTCTCTGAAACAGACAAACTCTGGAACATAGCAACTTACTCTCTGAACATAACCTGCTCCGGAGCAGGTTATCTTCAGAGAGCAAATTGCTATGGCTACTTAACATACCCAGAAGTTACCTCCGATTTTGGAACCAAAGCTGTGGTTATCCACCTACTTTCTCTCAAACTTACCCGGTATGTCACATAACCTGCTTTCTGGAACAGCCCCCTGGTCAGTGAAGTAGCACATATTTATTTACAAAAAAATCTGATCGAATAAGTGAAGTTTCATAAACAAACTTCAAGAGGAGCATGTGATATGATTGTGCACTGCTGGCCACTCATCTGTAATCATTAATAATCCAATCAGAATGATCCTAGCTTAATATAAATGGATCACTTTCTCCTTATTGCTCTTAAAATCTTCTTTTTGGAAGAATGCTTCCCGCTACAAACGCTCCAGCATTTAACCTATGCTTCAGGATCATTTAACCTTCTGACATGGAAGAACAACAAACAACAACTCCTCCAGCCAGAACCTCGCTCTCCTCAAAACTTCAGCAGCTGCCCCGCCAGCAATCGAGACCGAATCCCCGCAAGACGCTGGCACATCAGCTCTTCCAACTTCTAATTCAATTGCCCCACTCTACACAAGCCACAACTCCGACTAAACTTAAAACGCCGGCGATCCAAGCCACCCCAAGGAAGCCAAACTCACTGATCACCTAACGTTAGCGGTCCACTTTCGGTAACGTGCATGATTTAAAAGGAAGTCTGGCGAGAACAGTGCGTAAACGAAGAACTCACCTCTCAGCCTCCCGCTGGTCTACAGGTCTATAACATTCTGACAGCTGAAGTAGTTTGAATGCAAATGACCAGGCTATTTAATCCATAAACATTTGTCCACAACACATTCATACGCTGATATACATCTATGGAAAAGTGCACTGATCCTACACATCAAGCTTTATCTCTTTTGTAACATGCCAATAGTGACTCTCGAGTGTCATAGACAGTTTTATAATGGCAGTAAGATGTGAAATGGCAAAGAAACAATTTCCTGCTTGACTGCAACAAACAGGAGGAGGACATTTCTGGCTATGGAGTAGCCTTTCATACTTTGACTGTGTTAGATATATTCACTTTTAAACAACTTCTATATTAGTAAAGGGTTTAAACTCCACTCCACTATCATCTCATGGGGCCTATAATAATAATAATAATAATAATAATAATAATAATACATTTAATTATGTCTGCTGTACATGTGCCATGTTGCAAAGATTCAATTTCTAATTCTCTCTTGTTTTTCCATTTTAGAGTTCACGACTGCCGGCTCCTGAAACTGCCCTCATTCAACCCATCACATTCTACATCCATTCCTAATGCATTCACACTGACGCAAAGATACTTTTCCACCCATACAGCCCACACCCTTGATGTCATATTCACACTAGACTTGGTTTTGAGAAGTTCCGAGCTAACATCAAATTTCATCCCACATCCCATCAAAGCATAGCTGATCTAACTTTGCAGGATGTAGAACGCTCTTTCTTTATTAAGCAAACAGATCAATTACACAAGGACATTCTATTATACATTCAACCCCCCCCCCCCCCCCCCCCCCATTTACTCTTCATATCACAATATCTAGCACTCATAATGCTCCAATGCTGACAACCATTCACACTTCCGCTATAGCAGAGTCGCTCCGCCGAGCCTTATTCTCCCTCTGCACCCCACCCCTCTTCTCCATTTATAGATGACACAAACCGCCCAGTAAAACAATTCTGATTTAGAGATGCTTTATAGCAGGGGTTTTCAAAGTGTGAGGCGCGCCTCCCCTGGGGGGCGCCAGAGCATGTCAGGGGAGGCGCGTAAAAAAATATAATATAATAAAAATATAATTATTAAGTTTAATTATTATATGTATTTTTTATTATACTTAAACATTTTACTTAAACAAAGCAAAAAAAATAATACGTCAGATATAAGAAAACCTTTTTTACCCAGAAGACCATAGCTGTGAATTCGCTTTTGTTTGTCAAGCCCGCCAATACAGGTATATGCCTGCTAATACAATGGGTCGGTTTCTGAGACCCCCCCGATTCAAAGCTGTAATGAAGTTCACGGCCCTTTGGCTGCCAGGAAGAAGGAGGCGGAGAACCGAAGCAGTTTTAAAGTGATTTATTAATAACAGTGATGGCAGCTCCTCACGGAGGCTGCCGTCTAAACCAAAACAAACAGACGGCAGCTCTTCACGGAGACTGCCGTCAAACTGAAAGCAAAAGTAAAATATGTCCAGGTCCGGTCCTCTCTCGGCTTCCTCTGCCCTCGTTCCTCCTTTTATGATCCTTTTATGA